GGGCTGGCTGGCATGTGGTGCTGGGGGATTGAACCGCGGTCCCTGTGCTTTTGCTAAGCTTGTTCTAAGTAGGTGCTTTAGACCACTGAGCCATCTCGCCAGCCCGCATTTCAGATCTCATGACACAATCTCAGGGCAGATTTACCCAGATGTCCATGTTCCTCCCTGTCCTTAGATATTTATCTTGCCTAAATTTGATTCAATAATATTTTTCAGCAACTAACTTTTGTTGAGTCTTTCCAAAGCATTTCCCTACTGTCCACAGAAATAAGGACACTTTTCTTGGGCACTCAAATTTCATCCCTTTATATAATTACCTAAAATTAGGTAATTTACTATATTCTAAACAGAAATACCTTTCTTTTAGCACTCATTTTAGTAATTTACATGATCATTTAGTATGTAATTGTAGGAGTGAACACAAAGGGCAAAAACAAGCTTGAGAAAAACACAACCAACAGGGAGCAAGGTGCCCTTAGCCATCTAACCTTGTGACAAAGGGAGAGAATAAAGGATATTAGGTAGCTATCCAAAGGATAGGGTCAGCACAGGACAGGTGTCTATAACTGAGTGTTTTGTTTATTGGTTTGTACAGTTTAAAAAGGAAATGCTAATTATACATTTAACTTTACAAATGTACTGCTGATGGGCATGTGAATTGGTACAAACATTTTCAGGGGCAAAATCTATCAAAAGCCTCCAAAAAGTCACAGCCTCTGCAATGCTTCCCCCGCCCCCACAAGACAGCTTCTTGCTATGTTTCCCAGGCTTGTCTGGACTCTGGGCTCAAAAGATCCTCCCTCCTAGGCCTCTTGAGTAGCTGGGATCACAGGTACACAACAATGCACCCGGTTAGCAAAGCTTTTTGAGGAGGAAGAAGTGGTTGGGGGGTCCTAGGAACTGAGCTGTGGCAAATTTGATTTTCTCTCTTTCTTTCTTTCTTCTTCCTTCCTTCCTTCCTTCCTTCCTTCCTTCCTTTCCTTTCCTTTGAGACAGGGGCTTGCTACGTAGTTGAGGCTGGCCTTGCACTCACTATGTAGCTCAGGCTGGCCTTGAACTCACAGCACAATCCTCCTGCCTCAGCCTCCTGAATGCTGGAATTGCAGGCATACACTACACACACACCTGGCTGAAGTGACCTTGATTCTTCTCTCACTCCTACATTTAATCCAGTAGCAGCTCATGCTGGCCCAGCTTTCAAAATAAGCATCCTGGATAAAATATTTTACTACTTACCCACATCCGCATCTGTGGTGTGGCTGGAGTGGCCCGGGATTGGTAGGCTTGCCCTGCCCATCTCTCAACACAGCAGCTAAATCAGCACTCTGGTGGCAACTAATGTGTGTGTGTGTGTGTGTGTGTGTGTGTGTGTGGTGGGGGGTGCCTCTGTCTCCATGTACTAATGCAGTACTTTGGGAGGCGGAAGCATAAGGGTTGCAAATGTAAATTCAAGCCCAGCCTGGGCAACTTAGTGAAAGTTGGCCCCAAACAGAAAGTAAAAGGGTTGGATATGTAGCTCAGTGTGAAGGTCCTGCATATCCCCATACTGCAAGATGAATGAAGCCAAAGTCCTCACAGAGGCCTAAAACTGAAAGGTCCTATTCCTGCTACTCTTTTTCACCCCTTTGTCAACAAACAGCTTTGGTCCCCAGCCCAGAGCACTCCCCAACTCCAGCTGGTGCCACCAATTTCCTCCCCAAAGACACCTCTTACATATTGCACATGCCCCCCACCACCCAGCTGCCTTCCACCTCCTTTTTTGTACTGTACACAGGCAGACACTGTGTCACTGAGATACTTCCTTTTGTAAAAGGAAGTGGGGCTACTTCTTTTTTTCAGATTTTATTTTCTAAAGAATCAAGGTCTTGGGTCAGTGAGATAGCTCAGTGGACTAAGCACCTGCTTAGACAAGCACAGGGACCAGGGTTTGATCCCCGGCACCACATGCTGCACTAGCCCCACCCACAGACACGCTGAGCCAGCCAAGGAGGCCTGGCACGGTGGCACACACCTGTAATCTCAGCACTGTGGAAGCTGAAACAGGAGGATCACTCTGAGTCCAAGCTGCGTAGAGACCCTGTACCAAATACATTAAAAAAAAAAAAGAAAGAAAGAAAAGAAAGAGGCAGGCAGGCATTCCAGCCTTTTTCCCCCTGTGGTGTTGCTAGGCCTGCAGGTCTGTGCAGAGCCACAGATACAGGTCTATGTTACACAGGATGGGTTTTGTTAAGGTTGTCAAAAATAAGGCCTACTTTAAGAGATACCAAGTGAAGTTTAGAAAACGACAAGAGGGCAAAACTGATCACTATGCTAGGAAACACTTGGTAATGTAGGACAAAAATAAGTACAACACACCTAAATACAGGATGATAGTTTGTGTAACTAACAGAGATATCATTTGTCAGATTGCTTATGCCGGTATTGAAGGGGGTACGATAGTCTGTATAGCATATGCATATGAGCTACCAAAGTATGGTGTGAAAGTTGGCCTAACAAATTATGCTGCAGCATATTGTACTGGCCTGCTGC